TCAATATAATTACTCAGGTTTTATTGGTCGGGTCTTGCTAACCCCAAGACACTGGACCTAGTCGGTTTTGTTGGTGCGGGTGGACTTCGTTGGAGGTCTCCGTGTGAGCGGGACTTGAAGCTTTCAAGTAAGAGCTCATTTTGGAGCGAAGCACGCGTCAAAGGTAATTAGCTTATCTTAATCTTGTGATTAATTTAATTATGTTTATGGTTTTATTTATTGCGAGTGCGGTCTTGTTTTTGGGTTTGTTTCCGCGGTGAGTCGGACTCACCAAACCCCAACAAAAATACTCCAAATTCTTCACTCTTTATCATTTTCTACAGAATAAGTTTTTTGGTGGCCTTCGAAAGACAGGGGGTACAATGTCAGGTCCGGGTATTGGCTTGGTGTCCTTGGTCGCTCACGTATTGAGAACACATGATAGTTAAAGAAATCATGTATCGTCGCCATATTGCTCAAGACGAATTATGTGTGTGCTATGGAGTGGAGGTAGAGTCTATTTTCCATGTTCTCTTCGAATGTGACAAAGCTAGGATGGCGTGGGACAACTATAACCTTGCTGATCTTATTTCCAGTAGCCCTCCTGTGTAATACCTCGTATTTTTATACGTATTTAAATTAAAATAAGTATTTTGAGATATATTTAATTAAATTGAATTGTTTTATTTAAATTATTTAAATTATTTATTTTAATAAATATTTATAAAAGGGAAGTTTATTTAATTAACTAATTTAATTAAGTTAGTGTTTAATTTAAGGAAAGTTTTATTTTAGTAAAGTTTTATTGAGGATGGAATTAGGAAAATTAAAAGAGGAAAGTTAGGAAAAATGGGTTTTCTAGAGAAGGGGTATAAATATTCCACACATGAGGCAAATCAAACTTTGCCCAGAGTAGAGAAAACCCAAGGTAAATTTCTCTCTCCTTTCTCCTTATCTTTCTTTCTTTTTTCTTTCTCTTTTTCCCCTTCCCCTTCCTCTTTGGCACGACCGGCCACCACCCACACACCACCGATCACCACCGCAGGCCACCGGCGCACGGCCAGCAGCCGCGGCGGCACAGGCGAGGCGCGACAGCAACCCAGACGTGCCGTGGTGGCTGCTGTTGCCATGGTTTCGAAAAAAAAAATAAAAAAATTAAATCTTTATTTTTAAAAATGAATTTGTTCCTAAATCTAATTGTTAATTATGAGTTTTGGGATTTGATTTTGATGTTTGATTATGAGTATTATGTTAATTAATTTTCAGATTATGTTTTTAATTAAAAATCCCCAATTTTTTAAACCCTAGGTTCTTGATTTATAAATTATTGAAGGGTTATGATGTATAATAGGTTAGACATTTGATTAAAGTGTTTTAAGGCTTAATTACAACAAGTTTTAATTAAAATATAGTGCTGGAATTTTTGGTAGAGCATTTAAAAACAAGTTTCTTTAAGGAATTTTAATTACCCATTAATTGGGATTAAAGTATGATTGTTTAAACATAATTTCAACTTGTTTTAATTAAATTATGAGGGGTTTTATAATAGTATATATTGCTGGAAATTTGTGTAGAGAGGATTTTAATACTCTTCTATGATTTTAAATTGTAGGAGACTTTGAAGTGAGTGATTTCTATTAGTCGTGGCGATTTTAAGATCATATACAAGGTACGTTCGCGTACTTAGCATAATTATATTGATGTAGTAGCATGCTAAATGTTTTTGGTTGATTTCAAGTAGTATCATGCTTGGTTTGGATTGGAAATTATGATTTGGATGTTATTGGTGATTGGATTATGAAGCATGATTTATTTGTGATGGATTATTGAATGGATTGGAATATTATTTATGAATCACATATTTAATTTTGGCATGTTAGAGAGCATATTTAATTAAATTAAATGTTTAATTTGGTTTGGAATATTGAAAAGGAATTTTATTATAGTTCATATAATTTTTATTGATGCTATAAGCATGAGGAAAGAGCCATATAAGTGTCTATGTACACGAGGAATAATTGTATGTTGGTGCCTTAGTGCACTTAAGGTGTTTCTAACACCGAGGGATAGGAATTGTGGCGCTTTATGCGTTTAAGGTGTCTTTGACACCGAGGTAGATTTAAAAAAGGTTCAACATTAAATATTGTGTGGTCACTAATTATTCAAGAATTAAATTGGTATATTTGATTGATTGAATAATTACTATTGATTGAATGATTATGGTTTGAGAGTCATCACCAAGTCTAATAATATGTAAATAATGTAAAGTGAAAGAGATTACGCACCAAAACTCTTGGAGGGTATATACCTTAAGTATGAACATATGGGGGGAGTTATGTGACTTTATATTTGATCATAACTTCTACTGGAGTACAGGACGCTGTACATTCCTTTTTTTATTATTACGCGCAGGAATTCCACCACCTATGAGTGGTTATTAATGCTAGCACGGTTAGCTCCCGTGTCAGTAACCTCAATTATTTGGGGGAGGTTGAGTGGGAAACCCGTTCGATGCGTAGTCAACATTAAATAAATTATGTAGTGTCTAGTGAGAACTTTTATTGAATGTTGTATGCTTGTAAAACAGGTGCAACGAGGTAAGTTGTGCGTTGATATGAAATTGTATGCTAGTGTGTTGATTTCGCTTATGTACTCAGCTTTGCTGATTGTGTGTTTTGTGTGTTGTTGTCCTTGTCTTTATCTTGACCCTATGATGACCCATTTTTAATGGAGAGTAGTGGAAACAAGTAGAGAGAAGCTTTTCAGGTGATGAAGCATTTTCATGAATGGGCATGAGTGAAGAGCGAATCATGCTAGTTTCTATAAGTATATGATGTGTTTATTGTTTTATTTATTTATGACTTATTATTATGCGTGACTAACGAGGGTTTTGAATTCGGTTTTGGTTTTAATAAGGGCCTACAATGGTTCAAAGTTGTAGGTTGATTTTATTTTACTTCGTTTGACTTTGGTTTGACTTTACTTTCGTTATTGACTTTTTAAGTTGACTTGTTTTGAATGGTTTTGAAATTAGTCTTCTGCTGTGTGTCTTTGATAGTTGCCTTAACTGTTTTCACTGTGGTGGTAATGTCTTAGATATTCCTATTTAAAGTTTTAAACATGGCGAAACAGATATTTTAAAAGAAAGGAATTTTTAGGGTGTTACATCCTGGCTCCTTTGCTTCAAAGGTGTGTTGGTTTGCTAGCAAGTTGGACTCTAAAGAAGTTGGCAAAATTCTAACGATTGCCTGGGATTTATGGTTCTACCACAACAAGTTTGTGTATGAGCAAGAGGTCTTCAACACATTATCGGTGGTAGAAGGATTCATTCGTCGCCTCGTTGAGGATTACTGCAACTACGCAAGAAGAGTATTTTCGCCTTCTATTCGCATAGGGCGTGTGCTTTCAGCATCTTCTTGGACCCCTCCACCTAGGGGAGTGGTGAAAATCAATTTGGATACCCATATTTTAGACGACTTGTTTGTTAGTCTTGGGGTGTCCATTTGCGCCAAATTTGGGAAACTTGTTGTTGCAGTTGTGAGAAAGATGAATGTGTTGTGGGAGACTAATGTCGCGGAGGCAGCATCAACCAAATTCGGAGTTCAGGTGGAAAATCACCTTGGTTATCAGAATGTTTGGGTAGAGGGAGACGCAGTCAATGTATCGAAAGCTATTGACAATGCCGAGGAAGGTCGTGCTCCAATTTTTGTAGTGTATGATGATATTAAGCGCTTGTCTAGTTTGTTTGATTTTTTTTCGTTTGTTCTCATGTTAAAAGGGGCGGGAATACATTGGCTCATCTAATTGCTAGATGGGATACGAGGGGTAATGATGAACTTATTTATATGGATGCATTTCCCTCAAAGTGTTTTAGCTTTGGTGGAACTTGATTTGCAATAATAATTCCCATCTTCTCATTTAAAAAAAAAAATAAAAAGGAAAATTCCCATTGGTATCCCCGTGGTTTTGAATTTTCCTATTGATACACTCCTAAATTTTTGCCTTCCCATCGGTACACCCATGGTTTGGTCTTTTTCCCAACTGTGACTAACACCGTTAAAAAGTTATCATTAAGTTAAAATAATTAAGGAAAAGACTATAATACCCCTTTTAAACATTTAATGTCTTGATTTGCGTGTCGAAAATTGTTCGGTTAAAGTTTTGGGAGTTATGTTATATCTTAAGGAACCAAATTAACCTTGAAATTAGCAAAAAAAAAAAAAAGCGCAAATGTCTCATATGCGTGTCAAAAAATGTCTCGATTTGCGTGTCGTTACTTTTTTGTAATAATTATTGTTCAGCTAAGATTTAGGGGTCATTTTGACCCATTATGAATCTAAATCGAACTCGAAATTGTCTAAAAATTAACGAAAATATCTCGTTTAGCGTGTTATGACAAAAAAAATGAGAAATATTATGACATGCAAAATGAGATATTTTCGTTAATTTTTTGACAATTTTGAGTTCGATTTAGATTCATAAAGGGTCAAAATGATCCCTAAAACCTTAACCGAACAATTACTATCACAAAAAAGTAACGACACTCAAATTGAGACATTTTTTATACGCATATGAGATATTTGCGTTATTTTTTTTGCTAATTTGGGGTTAATTTGGATCATTATGGACTAACATAACTCCCAAAACTTTAACCGAACAATTTTAGACACGCAAATCGAGACATTAAATGTTTAAAAGGGGTATTATAGTCTTTTCCTTAATTATTTTGACTTAGTGAAATACTTTGTAACGGTGTTAGTCACAGTTAGAAAAAAGACGAAACCATGGGTGTACCGATAAGAAGGCAAAAATTTAGGAGTGTATCAATGAAAAAAGTCAAAACCACAGGTGTACCGATGAAAATTTTCCCCCCAAAAAAAAAAAAAAAAAAATTGAAATGGAGTAATTCTCATTGACTCGTATTCCATCACCTCGCAATCTGGCATGGATAATTAATCGTTTATTTTAAGAACCATATAAAAAAATAGAATAATAGACAAACCAAATTTGTCCGATCCATTTTATGCTATAGTTTATACCTTTACATAATCAAATCAATGAACTACATGTGACATCACTATAATTTCTCCTTCTGCCACCTCTCGAAATCATAAAACTGTAATCTTACGTTTTCTAGCTACTTCTCTCTCCTATCTCCCATTTTCTCTCTCTAACCTCTTCATCATCTCAGTGAACTCATCAATGGCGATCTTCAAAGTTTCTCGCATTTCTACCAAGCCTTACGATGGCCAGAAACCTGGAACTTCCGGTCTTCGCAAGAAGGTCTTCTTATCTTTTCATCTTTGATTTTTTTTTTATTTTTTTATTTTTTTATTTTTTGTGATTTTGTTTGCTTAATTTTGGAAAAATCAATTTCGATTGAATCCAATGCGTTTTTGTTTTTGGTTTGTTTTGCATTGTTCGATCTTATTTGTTGTAACATCCGATCAATTTCAGATCCATTTTACATCTGAATTATGCTGTGATTTTAGCATTTTTGGTGTTTTTGATTAGTGGCATTGTTTTGTGTCGATTGATGATGTATTAAATTATGTATCATTTAGAATGTTATTAGGACCTGGATTTGACTTTTAAATAATTGTCAAATTAGCTTGGATTGATTGACATCATTTGACTGTATGATTATGGTGACATTTGATGTCTGTGATTGTGTCATTTCTTATTGACCTGATTATTTTATCTGATTTGTTGCATCTCCATTGTTAAGAGATCGTAGATCGCGTTCATGTGAACCTTCATTGAAATTCGTAATGGTGGGATCGACATGTGTTTGGATAGTTGGTGTCCGCTGCTATCGATTTCGAGTTCTGTACTCATAAATACCATTTGCTTTATCGAATCTCTATTTCACCTTAAGTATCAATATGCAGAAATATTATGGGGCTTTGCTATGGCTTTGTCATGCGTATGGAGTATCCTATGTATCGTGACTAATCTAACAGACACAAAGCAGAAAAGTATAGCTTAATAGCACTTCATTCTTACATGAAAGAAAATTATAATGAACGTAAAAGCCTTGAGGTTTGTTGATTTTAACTAGCCTTTTTGACCTTTGCGATGCACGGGCCGTTAGAAGTAAAATCATGATAAGAATTATATGCTTATGTAAAAAAGCATGTCATTAGATTCATATGAAGAGTCCTGAATATGAATTTATTTATAAAAGAAAAGGGAAAAAAAAGAAAGATCAAATGTGGATGAGATAAGTACGTTACTGGTTTGAGTTTTTATATAGATGCTTTTTAGTAATGACTTATGAAGAATTGTTTCTGTTTTCAAAATAAAGTAACACTAGTATGGAGTAGTAGGTTAACAATAATATTGATAGCTTAAGGTACGGAGCATTGCCTTCATGTCTTTCATTTAACATAAAGGGGTTCTTTTCAAAAAAATCTGTTATAGCTATCTCGTTCAAAATAAGTGTCAATATCTGTTGACCCTTAGTATACACAGTACTTGTTAACGTACTTCATGTTTAGTAAAATGATTAAACTAATACCCTTTGTTTATGTATTGCTGAAATTAAAAAAATGTGTATTTGAAAAGGGGTAAAGTTAGGATTAAAATCAAATTTTTGCATGATATGATTCAGGTTATAGATTATATGAGAAAAATAATTGAAACTAAAAGAAAATGCTTCATATTTTTATGTTCCTTATTTTTTATGCCTGTTTTGATATATTCACATTGGTCTTTTGAACTGATGTAAAACACTTTCTTTAGTGCTAAGAGTGCCATTATATATTTCATCCATAGGAGTTGTGACCTTTCCATTGTTTTATGTGTAAAAAACCAAGTGTTGTGAAGTTTCTATAGAAGAAAGTTCTTAGAGTAGTTATTATAGTAACTACTGCTCGGGGAAAAGAAGTTGAAAGTTTACTCTTATTTGATGCCCTTCTTATTTTTTTTATGTCTATCATCCAGGTCAAAGTGTTTGCACAACCTCATTACTTGGAAAATTTTGTCCAGTCCACATTCAATGCCCTCACAGCAGAGAAGATAAAAGGTGGGTTCAATAGTTCCTTTTATGCTGTTTACAATGTGGCTTGACTTCCTATTTTTGAGTACTAGATTATCTATGCATTATTTTTATATTATTCTGATGATGCTAAATACTTAGCATTGCGGTGTTACTGTCATATTATGAAAATAATCAAATTTTGTTTTCTTCAATTTTATTATTCTAATGATGCTAAATACTTAGCATTGTGGCGGTACTGTCATGTTATGAAAATGTTGTGTAAAATTGAAGATAACATAAATCTAGGTAATATGGGTGAACAATTATAGCAATATCATACTAATAATAGTATTTCCCTATTACCTTGGTATTTGACAACAGCATTTCCTTACTCAAAATTAAACTCCTTACTTTGTGTTATCCTCCCCAAACTTACACATATCAATACCTAATGTTGTCTGTATTTATGCTTAGTTTTCTACTGTTGCACAATTCCATGTGGTTATTAACATCTTTTAGATTTCAATTATTTTTACTTGCATTTTGTTGAGGTTCAGCTAAGGGTAGCTAAGAGTGATTAAAGTAATTGTTAATCTTTTAGATTATTGTTCTAGATGAAACATTGTGAAGGCAATATGATTAACTTTTGCTAATTACCACATTAGAGGTTGAATTAGGTTAAGAGACGTTCATTTTAAAATTTACCAATGGTTCGACAACTTTGTTGGGAAGAAAAATAAGTGTATAAGTCGAGCAGCATAATGACCTAATGCTTTGATACCAATTTCCACATCAAAGTATCAAACAACCAAACTTACTAGTTTAGTTGGTTGGGTTTCACCTTGTAACCTTGAGATTACAAGGTCAAAACCTCCCAACTTAAAGGTTACAAGGTCGAACCCTTCCAACTCATGATATTGAGGTTAGTTGGTTTAGGCAATGCTCAGTTCACCTGATGTGCGAGATCTGAATATTCTCTTGAGCCCTAAACTAGTTATGTAAAATTTCATCTTATAAAAATCTGTAAAATAAATGACAAACTTAAAATAAAATAAAGAATCCTGACTGGCCATTTTCCAATAAACAACCAAGAAGCTTCTAGTACCTTCAAGAATTTTCAAGAGAGTTAGAAGAACCATCCATGAAAAAAGGTACCATGCATGGAACACATCAATGTATCACCTCATGAGGTGCGATCTAGTGTGTTGTTTTGAAGGTAGAACGAGGTACAAGTTATTTGGAAAATGATACTTATTAATACTGTTCTCGAGGGAAAGTGGTTATGGCTTCGTAGTAAAATAATTCCAAGAGAAAACATATTTGCATAAAAAAGGGTAGGATGTTAGACTGTTATATCCTTTATGACCTGTATGGTAATCGGTAAGATGGTAATAAATGTTGGTAATGGGAATGAATCTAAGTGTAATTTGGCAAGGACTAAAGGGTGTTCTATATAGTCACCTTTTCATCTAATACTCTAAGAATATTAAAGAGGAGTGATTTATTCTATGATTAATACAATAGTCTTCATCAAATCTATCAAGAGTTCAATAGAGTATTTTATATTCTGGTTTCTTTAACTGATATAGGCTCCGTTTGTTCTAACGGAAAACAATTTCAAGGGAAAACACAATTGTAAAAATAGTTTTCTTTTGTTTGTTTCCTTAAAAGAAAACTTATAGAGGAAGGGGAAAATTGGAATGGAAGGGAGAAGATGGATGAGAGGAGAGGTGAGGGATGTAATGAGTAGGGAGGAAAATGTGGCATACCTTCTTTTAAAAAGGAAAACATTTCCCACTCTTGGGAGAACTATTTTTCACCTTTGAAAAAATTGTTTTCCATCCTTGCTAACCAAATAATGGATTATGGGAAAATCATTTTCTTGGAAAATGTTTTCCGTCAAAGCAAATGGAGCCTATCTGTTGTTTGTCAACATAGGTAAAGTCACAAATTGAATGCAGAGTGCATATGGTGCTTTTTGTATAGTCAGCTGATTCATTGGTTAATTCATGTCAATGCAGGTAAAACACTTGTTGTTTCTGGCGATGGACGCTATTACTCTGAAGAAGCTATCCAGGTTTGCTTGCTAACCATATTGTACTGACTTATTGTTTTTAATGATCTTTTGTCTTCTTCTCACTGGTCTTGATCTACATTTGGTATTAAATACATATGGAATAATACATATTGATTGTGCCAAATTTCTTCATAAATTTAATATAAACCTCAAGCCAGATCTTGCTTTTCCTTTTTTTTCTCCTTCTCCTCTTAGGTGCTTAGTAGTTATCTCCTGGAAGGCTTGAATAACCTACTACTTTCACTAATGTTTTAGTCATAACTTCTACCTGATAACTATATCATTGATCCTTTTTTTTGCATGTATCTTGTCCTAGATTTTGACAAATAGTAGATTAAAAAAAAAACAGAGAATAATTTTATTTAGTTATAGGAAGAGCTTATATGATTTCCTTTTTCCCTACTTCTTTTCTTATATCCTTGTCTCATACATGATTCCAATTTTTGAGGAAAAGCTTAGATAATTTGTTGTTGTTTAGGTCAGGAAAAGAAAAACAATTCCAGGAAACAGTTAACCATTGTGAGGATGCAACTACTAAAAAGTTGTGCATCTTTTTGAAGCTTTGGTTCATTGTACATTGTTTAGCTGTTTCCTTGGATGAGTTCTTAAAATGAAACTATTTTGTTAACACTAGGCTTCTTGTACACAAGCTTTAACAGAATTTAATTTCGGTCAAAGGAAGCCTTTAAATTCTCTTCTGCTCGACCAAAAGAAAATCCAACATATCTTAATAAGATTATTTACTTGGAAGTATGTAGCTTTATTCCTCATTCAGTAAATTTCCTTTGCCTTTAAGCCTTTCCAAGAAAACCTATTGTAGTCATTGAGAAATTTTCTAGCCTGTATATTGAACAGTGTTGTGTAAAGAAATCAGGAATGAGAATTCCTTAAGTGTCCCTTGCTCTTGCTCTTGCTCATACGCCAACTCTACTCCATCTGTGGTATTCTGGTAAATGAATGATAAAGTACCATATGGGGCGTTGTATGATTTTCAAAGTATGTTAATCTGAAATTCTGAATCACTTCAGTTTAGGCTTGTTTATGTGGAGCTTAGATGATGTTATAATGTGTATGTCTGTCATCTGATTCTTTGTGAAATGTGAATGCCTTGCGTTTTTATTTTTGGAAACAGTTTTTGTAACATAATATATCTTTGTTTGATGTTGCTTCTTCTTGCTGGGAAAAATGACAGATTATAATAAAGATGTCAGCTGCAAATGGAGTTAAACGTGTTTGGGTTGGTCAAAACACACTGCTTTCAACACCTGCTGTGTCAGCTGTGATACGTGAAAGAGTTGGGAAAGATGTAAGTTTGACTTATTTGCAGGCTGTCTGAGTTCTTCGAAACAGTTCATGTTATGTTAATTCTTTGGATTTCTATTGTAGGGATCTAAGGCATCTGGGGCTTTTATATTGACTGCCAGTCATAATCCTGGAGGTCCTACTGAGGTTTGTCTTGTCCTACAGTTGTAGCATAGCTCATTGTTGGTGGATTTAGGAATCTAGAATTGTGCAATATTTATTGTTGTTTGATATTCCATTTATGCAGGACTTTGGGATAAAGTACAACATGGAAAATGGAGGACCTGCTCCAGAAGGAGTTACTGACAAGATTTATGAGAATACAACTACCATAAAGGAGTACTTGACTGCTGAAGATTTGCCTGATGTATTGTTTTCAACTTATTGTACATGACAAAAATGGTTTGAATGTTCCATTGTTAGGTGGATTTAAATGGGGAAATGGTAATGGATTTCTATGTAGTTTTGTGAAGAAAGCCACTTGTCAACGTCCATGGCATTAAAACTTCAACCCCATACATTTCTTTTCTTGTATAAACATCCATTGTCATTCAACAATGGGTAATTTTGAAAATTGGTGAATAAAAATAGATGTTTAGGGGTGGACAAGCGCTGCCATGTACTGGCTTGGGACTATCCTTACAAAACTCCATATCCAATACCATTACTGCCTTTGTTTTTGTTTTTTTTTTAATTTTTTTTTTTTTTTTTTTTTTTTTTTTTTTTTTTTCTGCCAACCAAACAGTACATTAGTTTAATAGCTTGCTATTTTAGCATATATCAAATTGTTCCTATTCTTTCCAGGTTGATATCTCTAAAATAGGCACAACTAGCTTCTCCGGCGGGCCTGATGGTGAATTTGAGGTTGAAGTCTTTGATTCAACTGATACCTATGTCAAGTTGATGAAGTAAGTCTAAAGCTGGCTTTCACAATCTGCATGTGCCTTCTATGTTTTATTTAATGTTTGCTCTTGTTATCAATGGGTTTTCAATGGATTCAATTGGCAGAACAGGAAATTGGTTTTACAATTTTAATTTTCTGTAAAATACTTCTTCAGCTTTCTTTTAATTGCAACATAGCCTCAAGGCACACACTTTAGGAGGTAATTAGAGAAAATAAATGAACGACTTTATCAATGTAATATTTAAAACAGGGAATTGGGAAAGGTTAGGTATTATGTGTAAAAAAATATTTTGATTTGTTTGTCCCTTTGCATCATCTAATCTCTTCATCAAAGAGCGTTCCATGAGGCTATGTTGCAACTCTTGCCAGTAAAAGAAAACGGGAGTATCTTTTAAAATCAGCTATATGAGCTTTTGTATTACTGTTGTCTTTAATGTATAACACTATGTTTGGATGACACTAGTGAAGCGATAGGGAGGGGAAGGCAAAAGTGGGAAAAGAAAGGTAAGGTGGGATAGAGTGACCTTCCATTTTCCTTCCAAATCTCTCTCAAACAATAGAGGGATTCGGTTTATTAAGTGGAAAAGAAAAATGGACCCCTCCATTTCCTTTCCTTTCACTTGTCCTATGTCTTATTCAAATAAGGAATTTGTATCCCTCATTTTCTCTCCATCTCTTTCCTGTCAAATATCTTTATCCAAATATAGTATAAATGAATTTTAGGACTTAAACTTCTTTGCTTCAATTCACTTATGGTGAACACTTCTGGAGTTACAGACAGTATGTCTGTTCTATCTAGGCATTAGGGAGCTATTAAAAAGTGCTTTAAGCTTCTAAATGCTGTCTGGGAAGTGGGAACAGTTCTATGCCCTGCCTTTGATATGCCAAATATAATTCTAGGTGAGGGCCTTATCCTTGCCTTAGGTGCATGATTGATGAAGTCTTGAAGGTTAAAAGGTTGGATTCCAAGGATTCCAACGAATTGAGTTAAATTCTGGGGGTGTGAGTGTGAAAATTATCCACTTCATTGAAGATAAATTGTTATTTCAAGGCTATCTAATTGATAATTGTCTCAGTTAAAGTTATAATTTGAAAAAATATATATTTTGAGATAGGAGCTACAATTTTTTGAATGGAGGTCTGCATGCTTAGGCTTTTGGTTGCCGGCTGATGCAACCTCCTCCCATCATAGCCCTACATAAATTTGTGTTAGACTTGGGGAGACATAACTCTGAATGATAATTGGATGGCCTATCTGCTATCATGAGCTTTATGTATTGTAGTATCTGTGGATTATTCTAAATTATCATAGTCTGTGGTTTAGGCCTCAGGGTGAATTAGTGCTTTAGGCCTTCAGCTAAACAAGTTCTAAAGTAAATTACTTCTATGTTACTTAAAAGGTTTGTTTTTATTGTAAAGAAAACTCTTCTTGTGTTTGAATATTCTATCAGCTGTAGGATTAGTTTGAAATTTTTTTCTCTTTAATATATTATATTACTTCCTCCAATCTAAAATTTCTGCAACATGGGAAGTGTACAACTTTGTAGAAATTGGGTAAAAGGTGAGAAGAAACTACAGAATCCATGCGAATCACCCTAAAAATGTAAGTAGGTTATTTACTTAGGTGTTTACAATAAGATTATATTGGAATTTATTGTGTGAAAGGAAGCATTGGATATCACCAAATGCATATGTTGCAATATTTGTGAAACTTCCTTGAATGGTAAATAATGCAATATGCGTGGAAAGGGCCAAAGGGGTTGAAACGGGGGAAGCATTAATTTTCGTACTTTTATTATTAAATTGGCTGTCTTATATAAAGCTAGGTTCTAATGTCTTTGAACATCAACTTGGATAATGATGTATAATCTTTGTGTTGCATGAGCAGGTCAATATTTGATTTCGAAGCTATCAAAAAGCTGCTCGCATGTCCAAAATTCTCATTCTGGTAGGAGTACTTAGATCAATGTCGAAGCACTTATGTTGTAAACTTTTGCTATATCTGTGCTAATTTGTGTTGGGATTCCCCCTGCCTATTTTCTAGCTATGATGCCCTTCATGGAGTTGCTGGTGTTTATGCTAAGCGTATATTTGTTGAAGAGCTTGGTGCAAATGAGAGTTCACTGTTGAACTGTACACCAAAGGTCAAATGGTTTTTGTGATATATGTCTTTATTGAACTATTGTATCTAGTTTAAGTAGATTATATAACATACGCTCTTTCATCCGATAGAAAGATTTTGGTGGAGGGCATCCTGATCCCAATTTGACTTATGCAAAGGAATTAGTCCAACGTATGGGTTTGGGAAAAACAGACACAGAAGGTGAACCGCCTGAATTTGGTGCTGCTGCCGATGGTGATGCTGATCGTAATATGATACTGGGTAAAAGGTAGACTCTACATCTTAGAGTGAGCAGATATCTTGTGAAAACTTCTTTATCTAACTTACCTTTTTTCCTAGGTTTTTTGTGACCCCCTCGGATTCCGTTGCCATTATTGCTGCTAATGCTGTAGAAGCAATTCCATACTTCGCTGGTGGTCTGAAGGGAGTTGCTAGGTATGCTTAAGGGTGTCTAGTTCTGCTTTGTTCATACAGTTTGTTCTTGACTTCTTGCATCTTCCTCCAGCCTTTTTGGTTCTGTAAACTTGGCCCTGTGGTTCTAGCATCGTTCACCTGTCTTTTCATCTTAAAAGGTCTTTAGTTTTTTTTAACACGGTAAAATCACTCACTTTAAACCAAGTACCTTTTCTCTCCTCTCCCATCTTCTATGGGTGATGACAACAATGACGTATTATTAAGTGTTGATACGTTGTAAATTTTTTTTTTTTTTTTTTTTTTTTTTTTTTTTTTTGTTGAATTGGTTGTACAATGATGCACCATTATGTTTGTTAAAGTATCTGTATTTGCATTGACTTTTCAGGAGCATGCCTACTTCTGCTGCTCTGGATGTTGTTGCAAAAGCTCTTAATTTGAAGTTCTTTGAGGTGACTGTGAATCCTTATCTTTAGTTCTTTAACTGGTTTCTGTCGCTGTTTTCTTCTTTTTCCTTTCTTCAACTTCATAAAATTTATAGGCTCTTCAATCTCTAAAGTAAATAGTGAGCATTGTCTTTCCTTTAGAAATCATTTAATGGTAATTCACTAAATTCCAGGTGCCCACTGGCTGGAAATTTTTTGGTAATTTGATGGATGCTGGATTTTGTTCAGTATGTGGTGAAGAAAGTTTTGGAACTGGTATGCTTTTATCTTCTGCAGTCCTTGTTCATATGTGATGTCTAATGAATTCATAAGGAATCAGAATGATTTCTCTGAGCTTCCTGAATAGGCTCTGATCATGTACGTGAGAAGGATGGAATCTGGGCTGTTTTGGCATGGCTATCTATTCTCACTCTAAAGAACAAGGATAAACTCAATGGAGAAAACCTTGTGACGGTTGAAGACATTGTTCGTCAGCATTGGGCTACCTATGGTCGGCACTATTACACTAGATATGATTATGAGGTACTTTCTCTATTCCCAATTGTTTGCCAGTTTGACCACTGCTAACTTTTCTCATTTTATACTAGTATTATTTACCACTTAAATGTCAAAACACTAGCTTTTAAAATACCCCTGCAATAGTTCTTGTGTAGGCATTAAATAAATACCATTTTAAATTACTAACATAATTTTGAACTTGCAGTGATTAAATTTGATAGGAGGGAGTATTATTTATACATTGTATAAGCTTAGCATTACCAACTTGTTTATCATTTTTACATCAATTATTAATACTGAAATTTTCTTCCTCAGAATGTTGATGCTGGTGGTGCAAAAGAACTTATGGCACATTTGGTCAATCTGCAGTCTGATCTCTCTGAAGTTAACAAGTAAGCCGGTGTTTACTGTGTTTTAGTTCAAGTCATTTTAGAGTTTATTGGCTTTGATTGGATTTAAAGGCGTTTATAAAAACATCAATGTACCACGTAGACTCCTCCAAATTACGCCATGTCACTTTACAAACATTTCATGACGCCATGTCACCTACCCAAGATAAGGAGATTCGAACCGAGAACCACTTATAATTAAATTGACTTTTCAACCATTTAAGCCAATTATTAAGCATGTTACAAATATGAAAATATATATATAAAACACATGGTTTAATTATTTTTTTTTTAAAAAAAACACACATTCATTCAAAGGAAAAAATGAAAAGACAGGTAGGCGTTATACGAACGTTGCTATTTCATTTCTGTTTACAATTGACATTGACAATTTCAAAATACACAATCCTTAACTTCAATTGTAAAATTGCAAAATACAAAATCCATAAAAAAAAAAACTCTCGTTGTACAATTACAAAAGTAGCAACCCGGAGTAACGCCCGGGCTACTCACTAGTTGATCTATGAATCAAAAGTCACTTTGAGACAACTTTATAACCATCTAATGAAAGTACCAAATTCGTTACAATTGTCTGTTGGATTTGACCATGGGGAAAAGATGGTTATGGGGCTCTATACGTTCATTTGAATATATGGAAATTATTAGTATGGAATGCAGTATTGCATCTAATTGTTAAGTCATCAATCAATGGAGAGTAAGTCACTACTTATTTAATTAAGTTTCCAGTATGAAGTATATCAATTTTACTTCACAACTATTTTATGGCTTTATCATCCCTCGGCCTGCTTTTCATATTAAGCTGATTGACCCATACATAATCTAACCATAAATTTTGCTAGGATATTTATTTGCGTTCAAGAGTATACATTTCTAAAAGTATGCTTAACTTTTTTTTTTTTTTTTGAAGGAAAAAAAAAAAAGTTATTAACATGATGAATTTTTGTATAAATCTTAATATTCTCAAAACGTTAGAACCGCTGTTGAAATGCTGTGCATCACCTCTATGATTATTGATGTTCAAGGTCTGGTTATGTTATATGAATTCTGAATCTTCTTAATTCTTGGTCTGACCAGGATTGTGAAGGGAGTTAATTCCACTGTGGCCAACGTGAAGGATGCTGATGAGTTTGAATACACTGATCCTGTTGATGGTTCAGTTTCAAAGCACCAGGGTATTCGCTACCTGTTTGAAGATGGCTCGCGATTGGTAAAGAGCTTGTTATTTATTTATTATTAAATTGAATGGTTTCTGTCTGCTCCCCACAAAGTCTGATGCCTTGCTTTGGTTTTTATTGTGACCATTATTAATTCAGGTATTCCGCCTCTCTGGAACTGGCTCTGAAGGAGCCACAGTTCGTGTGTACATTGAACAATATGTAAACGACTCCTCAAAAATCAGCAGAGATTCACAGGAAGCACTTAAACCCCTTGTGAGATTGCTTAACTTTTTATGTAATTTTTGGCCACTACATTTTCCCCTTTTTGTTATTTTAAGATGTACTATGCACTCCGTTGCAGGTTGATGTTGCTCTCAAGCTTTCTAAGATGCAAGAATTCACTGGGAGGTCAGACCCAACTGTTATTACATAAGCGGGAAGTGTTTCAGCTGGATGTCACATCCCTTGCAATTTGAGTCATCTCTAGTCTTCATAAGAGGCAATATTAATTTTGTACTACCATATTTTCTGGCTCAAATTCAGCTTTTATGGTTGAGGATATTTTTGTAAGAAAGGAGGGTCGTTGTTGAACTTGAGCTCAGAGTTGGCAACAGGCAACTCCAGTAGAGATGAATCCTCTCGTGCTTGAGCTGAGCTCATAGACGATCACTCCGAATAAATATTACTTATAAAAAACCTATTATATTTTTTCTATCCTGGCTTGAGATCTTAAAATTTTTCTGGTTTTTGGACCATGATTAGTTTTGAGTCTTTTGACCTCATCCTGCAGATGTGCAGAAATTGCTAAAATTAATCAAGAAATTCACTAAACGCCCATGACTATTGAGATGCCTCTGAGAATGGAAATTCGTTTGCATTAAATCCTTCCGAACCATAGAATTCCCACGGATAGAAAGATCACAAGATAGGGATCGAGTTCTTCGATGAGGGAGATTAGGACAGGGATCAAAAATGATTTCTTCACTAAATTAGACCCATAATTGCATTTTACTATTCAGATTGTTGTTTGCTTGCGCTGGGATAGAGTGACATTCTTGTATCACGAACCATATATTAAACGATGGAGTGAGTCTGGGCGCATAGCGCGGTTAGCGCCTATGAGCGAGTTATGAAATAAGAGATAAGGAAGTAATTTCCGCTAATTCAATTTTTGCTTCTAGAAAAACTCTCTAGTGGTATATTATAATGTACCATTATGTATGTATAATGTACCACTAAAGTATAAGTTGTCTGATAGTACTTTTTGTGGACTATAACGAGTGTAGTGGTACATTTTAACATCCTATAAGTTCCAGCTTCTGGAAAAAGCTGACTCTCTAGTGGTACATTATAATGTACCGTTATGCATGTATAATGTACCGCTAAAATATAAGTTATCTGAATAGTATTTTTTAATTGCAAAATAGTCATCCTATATATGCTGAAATCAATAGGTGCTATGTGCCGAAACTTAACCCTTAAACGAAGATATGGTTAGTTTTAGTAAGAGTCGGGAAAAGGTTCACGAAAATCCCACCCTAAATCTCCACTAATGGGAATTGATCCCATAAACTTATGGATGTGATCGATAAATATTACTTGTACTATTGGTGTTGTACTATTTTTGTCTGTTTAACATTGTCAAAACTTTTAACTGTCGATGAAAGCAGTTATACCAAGGCCCACAACGCTAAAGTGAGAGTAGTGATAGACCACTACTAGGTATGGACTCGTTGGGCCCATACCAGGGACAAAAATGTATTTTTACAAAAAATTTACCCATGTTGTAAAAATGTAGTTTCTCTCCTCTCAATAATAGTATACAAGTTAACCACTACTAGGTATGGACTCGTTGGGCCCATACCAGGGACAAAAATGTATTTTTACAAAAAATTTACCCATGTTGTAAAAATGTAGTTTCTCTCCTCTCAATAATAGTATACAAGTTAAGAATAACAGTATACAACCCAAGAATAACAATACACAAACCAATAATAACAGTATAGAAATTAGTAATAACTGAGCACCGACAAACAGGTACCGTTGTCAATTTCGACCGAACTCAACGATTCCAGCAGAGAACTCGTCAATTTTAATGGCTAATGTTGTCAATTTCGACCGAACTCAACGATTTCCAGCATAAAACTCATCGATTTTAATGGCTAGAGCCATAAGTTTGTGTCTCTCATTTTTGGGTTATGTTTTTTGGGTAGTTTCCAATGATTTTTAACGGAGGTAGTTGCAAGGTAGTAGCTGGTAGGGTGGGTTTCTTGTTGTAGGAGGTGAAGGTGTGGTGGGCGGAGGTTTGGTAGACAATAGGAGCAATCCATGGAGGTGGATAAAGGGTTTAAAGGAGGAAGAAGACAAAGAAGAAAGGAAAAAAAAAGGGGGGGGGGGGGAAGAAAAAAATTAAAAAAATTATATAATGGTATTAGGTAGTATTACCCATACCTGGTAGTGGGTAATACTTACACCTAAAGTGACAAAGCGAGTGCATGATATGCCGAGATTAATGGACTCTTTCTCGAGATTATATGCACCCTTCAATGTTCATTTTACCATTAGAAAGTCAAACAGGTGACCAAGTAGCAATAGAGGGATGATTGGAAATATCAACAAACTCAACATGATCTTTTGAGCTAAATCAAAGTGTATAAATATTCATACTAATCAAATTTTCACCAAAACATACTAATTTAATATTTTAAATTGCGTTGAATATTTCCTAAAAAAAAATAATAATAAATAAATAAATAAGTGTTGAATATCAACTACACATAAGTTGATATATAAATAGTATGTTGAGTTAGTCTCAATATCTTTTAAACATCATTTTTTTTAGAAAATACAAGTAAATGTACTAGTAGATCGATAATTTACAATATTAATGGTCAAAATTGTGTATTCATAAATGTGAAAGTCAATATGGTGTAACTATTTTTTTTAACAATTAAGATTACTTCTCAATAAGAATGGTATATTGTTGAAGTATATCTTACCAAATACAAGTAAGAAGTCTCACACTGATAAAAGAAGAGAGAATTAAACAATTTATAAAGCTAAGTGGCTACTCCTCCTATTGTCATATGGTTCTTGGATGGAACCCCCTTGGACTTGTGAAATAAATGCTCTATCTTAGTTTGCGGGTGCGGCCCAAACTCGTATTTAATATGGTATAAGAGCCAGGTTCACGATTTGGGACCTTTAATGGCATTAAGTATTCTGGGCCAAATTGAATTGGGTCATGTGATTCTTGAGTTAAAGGGACCTTACATGTGAGGAGGAGACGGGGAGTGTTGAAGTATATTCCACCAAATAACACATGTAAAAGGTCCCACATTGATAAAAGATGAGAAAGTTAAACAATTTATAAGGCTAAGGGGCAATTTCTCCTATTGTCATATGGTTTTGGGATAGAACCCCCTTGGACTTATAAAGTAAACTTTCTCTCTTACTTTGCGAATGCGGGCGACCCAGAACCGTATTTAACATATATGCTCGAGTGTCATTTAATAATCTACCTTGAATCAGTCTTATTAATAAGAATCTGCAATCTTCAACTATATTACTCACAAAATTTTGACTTTTTGTACTATTTACATACTTCACTTTGACCATTTTTTTTCCTTATATATGAATGCAAGCAAATATTAGTATGTAGAATGTTGTTGAGTTTATCAATGTATATTTTTCAAATATATATTAACTGTTTCTAATTTTTACAAATATACAATCAATGATATCAATAGCTACATTTGTGTATTAATAATCATGTTTCGTAAAAAAATTGCAAGTAATATCGGCAAATACAAGTTTATCTGTCAGATAAAGGAATTTTTGTTAATCTGGTGGCATTTCTATAAATATATTGAAAAAATGTGGTCATTTATTCAGTACTTTTGGTGAACTGTCCAATTACTGTTTACAATTTGCTTTTACTGTTTGGTGAGGAAATTACACATATACCCCTCAACTACTACATGAAAAGACGCATGTACCCCTCCACTGGTACTTGAAAAGATAATTATACCCCAAATAAATAAAACTTGTTTATTTGGGAAATTAACAGGGCACAACTCAAGTTATGGAATAAAAGTACTCGTAGTAGATATGGACATAGCTACATAGGGCAATGACCGTGTTTCAGCTTTGAAATCATAATGATGACGTTGGGGTAACCAACCTTGTTGGCCAGACATTACTAGTGAGTTGCCTCAACGGGCGTTCATATGAGAAATCCTCATTTACAAATTACAACTCAGCGGGTTTTGTGTGTGGCTGGCCCACACAAGTAATCCCTAATCCTCTTAGTAATTCTTGACTAAGTAACCCTTCTGACCTATTAACCCCTTCGTCCTAGTAACCCCTCAGACCTAGTAACCCCTAAAATAACCCCTAACTGAACTAAAAACCCCTAACTAAGTAACCCTTCCGACCTAGTAACCCCTGACCAAACTAGTAAGTCCTGACTGAACTAGTAACCCCTCTAACCAAGTAACCCCTGACCCCTTAAGTAACCCCCGACCAATTAACTCCTAGCCAAACTAGTAACCCCTGACTAAACCACCAATTCCACCGCTAAAAGCAACCACCAAACTACCAATTCCAACATACGACCACAACAATCGTCGATTGAGGTTCTCGAGGAAGGAAGAAAAAGTTTACAATCAAAATAACAAAATAACAACAGCTTTATCAATTACCGCAATTTATCAATACCAATTCCACCACAATTTATCAATTAGCAAAATAAAGTTGACAATAAAAAAATCAATTGAAAAATAAAAACAAAATTTAACAATATATATATATTTTTTAAAGCTCTAATTTAACAACAGCTTCCTCATTGGCCAGTAACATTTCCTGAAGATAAATCTTTGCTATTAGAAACATCAAAGGCAAAAGTAACCTTTATATCACTAAATCTGTTGAAATTTGGGGGAAATTTTAGGGTTTGGAGCTTCGAAATTTAGAGGCTGAGTTGGTTTGATTGACTAAGACGACGTAGACGGCAGAGACGAAGACGACGGCGTAAGTCGATGCTCCAGCCATTGATAGTTAGAGAGAGAAAGTTAGAAAGAGAAAATGAGAGGAGAGGAGAAGGAGAAAATTAAAAAAAATAAATAAATAAATTGTGGCTGGCTACACCGAATGACCTGCTACATATGAAAGCTTGTGATTACAATTAAGGCCCCGTTCTTCAGAGCTGCTCTGCTTAGCTCTGCTCTACTCAAATCAAATCTGCTCCACTCAAAAGAAATATGCTCTTCACTACTTTGCCTGTTCTGCTCTATTTTCAAATAATAATTAATAATAACAATAGTAATAATTAATATTCAATAATAATAATAATTAATATTGTATTGATGATAATAATTTATTTTTTGAATAATTATAATAATTACTAATATTAAAAATAATTTTAATAATTATTAATATTAATAATAATTAATATTTATTAATCATAATAATAATTAATAATAATAGTTATCATTATTAATATTTAATAATTCAAAATATTAAGAATTAATATTTAATAATATTATTAATTAATAATTTCTAATTATTATAACAATTCTTTCAAAATAATAAATAGTAATAATAACAATTTCTTTTATAAACATTTGATATTAGAATCACAATGTGTAGAAACATTATATGTATGAGGGTATTGATTGTTAGTTCATTGAGTTGAATTATTTTTCAAATCTTTC